AGACAGTGCGATTGGCACAGGACAGAGCAGAGTTTAGGGCTGTTGTACATAGGGTCGCTATGAGTCGCAAGCGACTCGATGGCACATAACAACAAACAACAGCAATGCTCTCCATTCCCTCCCAAGTTATGTAGTAATTTTTAATATTGTTGCTCCCTAGTGTTGTGTAATATTCTATCATTTGAATATACCACAATTTCTCATTCCGTTTGTTTCTGTTTGGATATTTGGGTTGTTTCCATATTCCTACGATAGTGAATAACACTTCTATGAACATTGGTGTATAAATCTCTAATTGTTTCTCAGTTCTAATTTTGTCCATTAATTTTCTTCATTAATCAAATAATTGTTGACACTTATGCATTCTACATTAATCAAACATTAGTTAACATTTTTCTCTGTCTTTTGTTTTAATGACTGTGTTTTTTTTCACCATTCAGGTTCACTGATATTTATTAAATAAACTTCAAGTTATTTCTTCTTAATAGTTGTATTTTTATGTGCCTTTTATATATTTTTTAATTGATGACCACAGATATTATATGGCGTCGTGACACGCACTCATACAAACAGAATCACACATCTATTTCTTTCACAAACGTAAAAATACTTTGACTGATATTTTAATATCTGCTAAATACTAAATGCTTCTTAAGGCATTTAGCATAAAAAAGAAAGGAATACATGTAAATATTTTCTTTCTTGGTTCTTATTTCCGAATGAATTTGATAATTGTGTCCTCTGATGTACTAATTGATTTTCATCATAGCAAATTCACACCACACAGAGGACATAAAAGAAAATAGAGCAGAAATCTCTTGAATTTCAATTGCCTTGAAGAAGTCAATGATGCCTTCTAAATTATTTTCTCCTGAATGGTTTTCAGGTACATTCCCATCCACACCCATTTGCTGACTTGCGCATGGAAATTTTCAAATAAAATTTTGATATTTCCTTTTTCATTATAGGGAATCCGAATGATTTGTCAGTAAAAGGTTTCCTGTTAACCAAAAATGAGTACTTCAACACACCAACAGATCTGCAGGAGAACCATATGGTGGTCAATTCCTGTGACTACAGCCTTGGAAATCTTACGGCATAGTTCCACCTTATCCTTTATGGTTGCAGTGAGTAGGAAGGAAGTGTTCAAAGGATTTGATTTAAAAGTTTATTTCACTGCTTAACAAAAAGATTATTTTTAAGAAAATCATGACATTTACAAAATTAACAATGAAAAATTATAAATACATTTTAGTTATTCTTGTATGTCAAGGCATGCTTGGAAATCATCCACAACAACTCTTCTAATCTTATTAGAGGGTGGTGGTCTTATGTTAGAGCTGTACCCCAGTGTCTCACTACAATCTTTAATTCCCTTTGCCTCTAAATTTAATTTTTCATCAAAATTTTTTATTATTACCCCAAATATATTTGTAATAGTTATTTTTCTGCAATTCTTGTTATACGTATAAGATAGGTTAAATTTCAGTCGATTTATAAACTGAAACAGTTAATATTTTGTTTTGCTATAAACCAAAGGTAGAAATCACTACAAAATGCATGTTGTTGTTGATGGCCTTTGAGTCAAGCACAGATCATTGCGACCCTGTGAACAAAAGAACTAAAGCCCCTCTACAACCATCAACATTTATCAAAATTCATAGAGTTGTACCAGAGTTGGAATGAATAGACTGAGGAAGTGATAAACTATTGAAGATCTGGAAGAGTGTTTAATTATTTCAGGTAATTGAAATACAAAACCTCACAAATTAATGACTGGACCACTTATTGACATGGTATTTTTGGACTGTGGAGGAAATATCAGAACCTCGTAAATGAAGGTAGATAGTGTGAAAAAAAGAATTGAAGTATAAAAAGGGATAAAATAATGCTACTACACAAATAAAACCTCAAGTTTCTTCCAGCTTCCCTCATATTGTTACTGCTTGCGAGGAGGGACCGATCCTTGGAGAATGACATCATCTTTGGAAGGATGGAGGGACAGCACAGGTTAAGAAGACCCTGGATGAGTTGGATTGAAACAGTGTCTAGGGATACAGGGACAGATGTGTCAGAGACAGTGAGCTTGGCTCAGGATAGGACAGAGTTGCAGGTGACTTGACAGCACATAACAACAATGTTGCACTGACTAAATCCAAAGAGGTAGAGAAAGGCAGAAAATGCATCAGAAGGATTAGAAAATATAAGGGAAAAAAATCACTTAAAAGAGTAATTCTTAATAATTCAATTATCTTTTCACTTTCAATTACCTCCTTTCTTCACATTGAGGTAAAATGGATTTTCAGTATTAGACTTTTGCAGCTCACTTAAACTGTGGCTTAATTGCAGAACAGCTATTGCTTCTAAGGAAAAAATTATTTTACAATAATATAGGAGAGTTGACACACTATTATCCGAAGTTAAGAATATAGAAGCAAAATGGATTTTTCTTTTTGTGTTTATATGAGAGGAAACATAAGCAAATTCTATAATTTCAAGTCGTTCTTTTGTGTTAATAACTTTGGGAGCAATTTCTCCAGTGCCACCATGACGTCTTTGTTCCTCAGAGTGTATATAAGAGGATTCATCATGGGCGTCAGAACGGTGTAAAACAGAGAAAGCAGCTTCCCCAGTCCTTCAGATTGGTCTGGTTTAGGCTGGAAATAAGTGATAGCAGCTGTGCCAAAGAATAAGACTATAACTGTCAGGTGAGAAGAACAGGTGGAGAAGGCTTTGGCCCTCCCCTTGGCTGATGTCAATTTCAGAATATTGAAGATAATTTTTCCGTAGGAGGTAACAATCAGCAGAAATGGCACCATGAAAAACATCACAGCAACTATATACACTAGCAACTCATTCACGTATGTGTCCCCACACGCAAGCTTGAGGATTGGAGGAATGTCGCAGAAGAAATGATGAATTGTGTGAGACCCACAGAAAGGCAGGGAGAAAATCTGACACGTTTGCCCAATTTCAAACGGAAGTCCGCTGATCCAGGAGCCAGCCAACAACTGCATACAGACCCTGTGGTTCATGACCAAAGGATAGTGCAGAGGGTTACAGATGGCCACGTAGCGGTCGTAGGCCATCACTGCCAGGAGCAAACACTCTGTGCTTCCAAAGATGAGAACAAAGCACATTTGTGTAGCGCAGGCCAGAAAAGAAATATTTCTCTTCTTGGTCCAAATGTCCCCCAGCATTCTAGGGACAGTGGTGGTTACATAACAGATTTCCAAGAAAGAAAAATTGCCGAGAAAAAAATACATGGGGTTCTGGAGTGTAGGGTCAATCCTTGTTATTAGTATTATGATGCCGTTGCCCATCAAAATAATCAGATACATGACTAAAAATATCCCAAAGAGAATCCATCGGAGTGTGGGTATATCAGAAAACCCCACGAGCACAAACCCCCTCATTATAGTAGAATTTGATTCTTCTGCCTTTAATTTGCTTTCCATCTGTGGATATGGTAAATTCAAGACGGTTAGTTCATTCACATTTTTTTAAAGAAAACACTTTTACTTCTGTTAGGGTCACTATGAGTCGCAAGTGACTCAATGGCACATAACAACAACAACAATTGGATACATATATATCTATTTCTATAGGTAGATAGATAGAGATAGAGATAGAGGTAGAGAGATAGAGATAGAGATATACACACATATATACATATATATCTATATCTATATATATACATAAACTTCTATAGCTTTTAAGTTCCACCATAATCATATTCCATTTCTAAGGAATGTCAATTGAAATTTTATCAACTAAGTGATGCTATTAAAAATCAACTGAAAAATTAAAAGCCTGGTATAATTTCCTAAAACTTGAACTGTTGAATGTTCATTAGGGTTTATTGCACAGGCAAGAGTTTTGGTTATTTTACTGAAACACAGTCCACTATCACACAATCCATCACCATCTAGTGGATTTTTATATGTTGTGATTCAGTAGAACAGAGTAGAATGGCCCACAGGATTTCCAAGGCTCTAAATCTGTATCAAATCACAATCAGACTCCTTTATCTTTCTTCTTCAGTGCAGCTGGTATGTTTTGACAATTCAGAGTGGCAGATTTAACGCAAACACTCAAAACAAATAAAAATCACTATGTCACCAGAGGGTTTTAATCCATTGAGAGCCAATAACTCTTATTTTCACTTTATGATCTATTTCTGTGTCAACATTCCTACTTCAATTTTTCTCAAATCAACATTGTTGTTGTTGTTGTTAGGTACCATCGAATTACCTGCAACTCATTGCAACCCTATGTACAACAGCCCTAAAGTCTGCTCTATCCCTTGCCAATCTTATTGTCTCAGATATGCCTATCCTTATTACCCCAGTCACTGAATCAAACCATCTCATTGAGGGTCTTCCTCTCCTATGCTGTCTCTCCACCCTCCCAAGCATGACGTCAGTCTCCAAGGATTGACCTCGCCTTGCAACATATTCAAAGTATGTCAGATGAAGCTTCAGAATCCTTGCCTCCAAGGAGCAGTCTGGCTTCACCCTCTGCAGGACGACCTTGTTTATTCTCCTAGCAGTCCATGGTATATTCAGTACTCTTTTCCAGCACCAAAACTCAAAGACATTGACTCTTCTTCTGTCATCCCTAGTCCAGCTCTCTGATGCATAGCAAGTAATTGTAAAGACCATGGGCTGTCTCAGGCACACCTTAGTCTCCAGACTGACATCGTTGCTCTTCAGTGTTTTGGAGAGGTCTCTGACAGCAAACTTTCCCAATGAAACTCATCTTTTAGTTTCATGGTTGCTGGTACCAAGAGTGTGGATATTCTTTGAAAAAAATTACTGAATTCTTCCTTCAAAATTCATTTTAATATTTCTCCTTCATATTGTGAGACTCTATTTTCTTAAACCAAACATATCTTTTGTTGCCAAGAGAATAAAGGTGTGTATAATTCTTGTTCTTTCTTCAGCTACTGTCAGCATAAACTTACCCGTATTTTCCTTATTATGTTAATTAACCTTTAATTTTAGTAGGTACTATGAACCATTCCTCGCAGCAATTTTTGCTACACTTTGACCCTTCCCATGTAAGAGTCCAAGTTTCATTGTCATCTAATTTCCTCAAAATTCACTCCATCTTCCTCTCTTGGTTGTACTTATGATTTATAGAAACATAACTTTATTAAATACTATTATAATTTACTCTGGGTCTCTATGAAAGGGCTCATGTCTATGAGATCATAGGAAAGCATAAATAAATATCTTGTCTGGTTTTATGTTAATTTATGCAAATGTAAGACAGTGGTTAAAGCTACTTGACAATTCAGAATGAGATTGTTTAACATTTACCATCCAGCACTTCATAAACAATTATTCAACCATTTTCACCTCTTCTCAACTCTCTTGGCTCCTACTTCATTTTCTAATACAATCACACACGATTTTAACTTAGTTGTTTAAGCAGAAAGGTGATTAGACAAGCATTTTATTATATGTCCTTCTTAGTATTAGTTGTGAAATTGTCAGGAATGAATTACTTTATAAAGATAATAAACATTATTGTAAAGGAATTATCTACTCATTTATGTAATATAACTAATTGGGGAAGTTAGAGAGGTATATTTTCTATTCTAAGTGGTTAATTAATTTTCAAAAATATTTTTATAATGTCATTTTTTGTTTATTATTTATATCTTCATATTAAAATTTAGAATTATCCTTGAATAGGTTTTCAAAATAATGATAGCTTACCTTGGAAGAGTGTATAAAGTTGCCTAGGTTTACATCTTTTGTTATTATAAATACTTTTAAGCTTTATTCTTTTTGTTTCCAGTGTCAAGAAGTCCCTTTAATTCTGCATTAGTCTTTACTTGCTATCAAATGCCAAACTCTCTTAAATAGTATGAAGTTGCTCCCACTCTGGGAGGAATCTCTCTTGTGTATCTATTTATTTTCTAGCAGAGTAGTACTATTTGGCAATCCATCTGGCTTGTTTTCAAATCCATCTTCTCTGGCTTTGTTCTTACTATTATATGTCTCTGAGTGGGAACTGACTCATACCTGAGCCCTCCAGCGAGTTTTCAGAAGCTGTAAATCCCAAGTACAGCAAAATAGTAAACATTGCTTCTGCAGAGCAGAGAGTGGATTCTAACCGTGTTCCTTTGAGTTGGCAACATAACGGCAATTCTTTACTGTCAGCCACAAGTTGTTGCTGAGTACTGACTTGGACCAACCCATAGCTGACCCTTCAGCAGATTTTCAGAGGCCCTAAATTGCAAGGGAGGAGATTGCTCATCCTTCTCCCTCAGAGCAGGTGGTGGTCTTGAACTTCATGCCTTCGCTACTGCAGCACGGCTTCTTGACACTAGGCCACCAGATGAATAAAAACTATTTTAAGCACAAGAAAGAGTGAGCACAGAGAATGACATATAAAGGAATCATGTTATGTGCCATCTAGTCACTTAGGACTCATAACCACCTTAGTATAACAGCTCTGAACGCAGCTCTATACTGTGCCAAATTTATTTTCTCTGACACACCTACTCCCATTACCCCAGTCATTGAGTTAATCCATCTCATTGAGGGTCTTCCTCTTTTGCACTGTCCCTCCACCCTCCTAAGCATGATGTCCCTCTCCAAAGACTGGTTCCTTCTTTCAACATGTTCAGAGTATGTCAGACGAAGCATCAGAATTCTTGACTCCAAGAATCAGTCTGATTTCAGAAACTGTTGATTCTCCTAGCCGTCTATTGCATATTCAATATTCTTCTTCAGCACCACAGTTCAAAGGCATCTGTTCTCCTTCTACTATCCTAACCATTGCTCTGCTTTCTGAATCTTTGTGATCATATATATGTCATAGAAGAGTTATATTCCTAAGTGTTTTCAATACAATTTTTCTTTCGGGAAGTAATACACTCAATTTATACTTTTATCATGAGGAGGACCCTAGTGGTAAGAAGTTGTGCAGCAATAAAAAGACATAAGATTTACCTAACTCTTCTCACTATTTCTTAGTTGTTGGAATTGATGGAAAACCTCATAAGCAGTTCCTTACGTCACTTCTGCCTTGTATGCGGACTTCCGAATTGTAAAACAGACCAGTGGTAGATGGAAATTGCTCCAGGACTTAAGAACCATAAATGACATAGTTGAACCTCTCCATCTTGTGATTCCAAACTTTTATACTATAACAGACAAAGTGCTAGTCAATAGGCCTTTTATTGTAAGAATTACCTTCCCTCTGTAACTTGATTGGTGCCACTATTAGAGCCTCTATGTGGAATATTACTGCTTTTCAATTTTTGACTCATGTACTTTTAACTTGTTAGTTAAATTTGTGTCTTCTAGGCTGCAACACTTCCATGTTACATCTTCAAGGATATGAACATGCACGGCTAAGCACAATTGATAACAGTGCATCTAAATTTCAAAATCAATCTCCATAATAGTCTATGTGTTTCCTATTGCCGAAGGGATCCTTTAGAGTAGTGAGAGAAGATCTTCACCCTGAAACCTAAAGCATCCCTTTCCAGCAGGAAGTAGCTAAGGGAATACGCCATCCCCTTTTCCTTATGAATCAGGGTGTAGTCTCTGTCAAGGAGGAGTGATAGGGAATGGCAAAGGACACACTGACAAAGGAGATTAATCAGAACTGGTTTTGACAAGCACTGTGGCAATTGGACAATTAAAACAGACTTCAAAGGGGAAAAAAAAGAAGAATGAACTGGGGAGGAGGGTAGAGAAAATAGTGCAACAATGAATGAATGAAACCCCAAATCTCTGTAAATGTCCATTAAAATTAATTTAAAAAAAGACAATGACATCATGTTTGGTAAAATAGTATGACTACGTAAAAGGGACAGATTCTCAATGACAGACATGGGCAAAGTGACTGCAACAGGTGCCTTGAACATACAGTGATTATGAGGATGGCACAGCATTTTGGGATATTGCAGTATTTTATTCTACTCTCCATAGGGTTGCTATGTGTTGGAACCAGCTGGCTTGTGTGTGATGATAACAAAAATAATAATTTCACACTATTTCAATGCACTTTGTTTCAAAGAAATAACTGCTTCTATAGTTCTACAAATTAACTGAGTTGCAAAAAAAAATCTCCAATTAATGATCAAATTTTCTTCTGTCACTGAACAGATATGGTAAGAGGTTGTTTATGCAATAAAATGAAAATTAACTGGGTTTATTTTAGATTAGGAATAAAAGACATGCTCTGTTGTCATTTTACTCGTATTTCCCACTTACTAGACAATATATCCAAGTTCCTCATACTCAGTTCCATAACAATATGTCAGAACTTTTCCCAAGACAGAGTGGTATATTTTTTGAGAGTTCATAATGCATTTATTGTTATTTACCAACATAATAAGACAAAAGTATCTCGGGTTTTTTTATGACTAGACCTGATGTCTTTGAGCTGTGGTGCTGGAGAATAGTATTGAATGTACCATGGACTGCCATGTAAACAGATTCATCCGGGA